GTCCTGATAGATTCACTGCTAAATTGTACAAGAAATTTAGAGATCTAATGCTGTTACTCCTTAAACTATTTAGCCAAATTGAGAGGAAAGCAGTACTCCCAAATTTGTTCCTGGAAGCACGTGTTATACTGATTCCAAAACCAGAGAAAGATTCAACTAAGAAAGAGAACTATAGACCAATATCCTTAATGAACATAGAGGCAAAAATCCTCAATAAGACACTAGCAAATAGAATGCCACAAATCATCGAGAAGATTATACACCATGACCAAGTAGGATTTATCTCAGGAATACCAGGTTGATTCATTATACACAAATCCATAAGTGTAATATGCCTTATCAAGAGAGCCCAAGGCAAAAATCACGTGATCATCTCAATAGATGCAGAAAAAGCATTTAACAAAGTGCAATCCCATTCATGAAAAAAAAAAAAAAAAAGAAAAACCTACAGAAAATTGGGATTGATGGCCTTTGTCTCAATCTGATGAAAACCAGCTATAACACACCAACAGCAAACATCACACTAAGTGGTCAAAAATTGAAGCCTTCACTCTAAAATCAGGACCAAGAGAAGGATGCCCACTATCATTGCTCCTATTCAATGTAGTTCTACATACATTAGCCAGAGCAATTAGATGAGAGAAAGTAATAAAAGGAAGAAGGATAGGAAAGGAAGAAGTGAAACTGCTATTATTTACAAATAACATGATACTTTACATAGAAGACCCAAGAACAGCCTATGTGGGAAAGCTGGACTATTCCCCAGTTGTGCATAACTGTTTAACGTTTAACAGCAGGACTCTATGCTGTGTACAGGTTGATTGTGAAAACATGATCCCATTGTCTTTATTGGTGGCAAATTCCAGAGAATCTGTAAGAGTGCCACCAGCTCAAAGCCGTCTCAACGTCATCCGTAAGTGCTAAAGAAAACTTTCATTTTCCATCTCACATGTCTCTTTCCTGTTATGAATTCCAAGAACTTTCCAGTAGGATTATATTTTATGGGTGTTAACATAGGCCAGTCCCTTGGGGGCAAAAGAGGCCTTGTAAACCAGTGGTCACTCCAGACATAATGACCCGAGTTCCAAAAACAGTGTATGGGGAAGGAAATTATGTAGTGGAGAGGCCTGACGAGGATGACCCTAAGCAAGTAGTCAAGGCCAAAGTCAGCAGCGAATGGTGGACAATCTATGGAACACCTGGCTAGTCCTCTTCAACCCTGACAAGGTCATGCAATGAAAGGACTGCCTGAGGGACTGTCCCAGGAATAGGAGCCCAAGGAAACATGATGTCTAGATGAAATGTGAGTGTCTAGAGTGGGATCAGGTACAGAAAGATGTCTGAAAAAATAAATAAACAAAATAACTAATGAAGGGGCCTACCAAATAGCTCAATGGATTGAGGCTCCTGCAAATAGCTCAATGGATTAAGGCTCCTGCTGTGCTGGCCCTGTCCCTGGGGCACGCTGAGATGGCAAATGAGACCGGGTGTGGTGGCGTGCTCCTGGGATCCCAGCATTTGGGAGGCTGTAAACAGGAGAATCACTAGGAGTCTGATCTAGTAGTGAGATCCCAAATGCCATGTAGACCCTTCCCTAAAATATAGGAAGAAATAAAAAATAACTAATGAAATTCAAATGAAGTCTGAGTTGAAGCAATAGCCACAGACACATGTTGGTTTCTCAACAGCGACAGATGGGTCACCTCATATTTGTTGCAAATGTAAAATGTGCTCCACCATACAGCGTTGATTAATATGGAAGTAAATATACATGTAAATAAAACTCAAAGCCCACCATGACCACCATGAGAAATAAGGGCCGAGTACCAGGCGAGCACCGTTAGAGGAATCACAGTGACTATGCATGTCCTGCAGCCCACAGAGGTGCCTGGCCAGATTCAGACATGGGCAACGCAGAGGATGGATGCCTTGTACACATGAAGCCTGGTTGTTTGTCCACAATCACACATGACTAGTGTAAACATACAACGAGTGTAAAACTACAATTCAGGAAGCCGTGTGTAAAGACAGTACAGCAATGGAGCAGAACATCACCTGCGTCTGCCAGCTTTCCTGTTTCCGAATGCCAGCCACCCAGTATCTTGCAGAAATTGTCTGGAGCATTTTAAGAATGATGTCTTCGAATAGATATTTTTCTTTCTTTCTTTTTTTTTTTTTTTTTTTTTTTTTTTTTTTTTTTTTTTTTTTTTTTTTGGCAGAACCAGGGATTGAACTCTGGCCCTTACACTTGCCAGGGAAGTGTTTATTCCACTGAGCCATCTCCCTGGCCCCGACATTTTTCTTGAGGACAGGCAGTTCCACAGTGCCTTTCATGAATGTTTTCATTTGCTCCTTATTGGTTTAGACAGCAGTACGGGGCTTTTGAAGATGAACCGGGCTTCCAAACTCAATAATCGTGGTCATAGATTAGGGTCCTAGTTTCTAGCTGTGTGCGAGAAGTGTGCACTCACTTGGATGGTTTGATGTTGTTTTTCCAAATTGTCCAATAAAAGTAATACTTCTTACACCCACTATTTTTGGTTTGGTTTGGTTTGGTTTGGTTTTTGTTTTCCCATTTATGTATTTGGTACAGGGTCTCACTATGCAGCTCAGACTCTAGGGACCTTCCTGTTTTCTGCCCCCCAGTGCTGGGATTACAGGCATGGGCCACCATGCCTGGACTCGGTAGCCTCTCAGCATGCCCCGGGGGTGGGGTCAGTGCAGCATGTGTGGCCAAGGATTGAACCTTGGACCGTGAGCTTACCAAAGCAGGTGCTCCATCTGCCAAGGTATTTTGTTGGTCCTACACCCACTATTTGTAAGGAGGGGTAAATATATGTGAAATACTAGGCTGTGACATAATAAGCGAACAAATACAAATTTAATCGTTTGGGCAAGGAGGGAGCCAACGTTTATTTACCTTCTCCCAGAGATAGTGCAGAGAAAGTATAAACAAACTATAAATAAGGTTGCATGGTGGGGATGGAAAGCGTTTGCAAAGGCCTTTTTCCATGCCTTCAAAAGCCCTGTTCACACTGCGTTTTTGGATGTGACCTTCAGGTTTAGATCAGCTTCCAAATGTCATCCTTCAATTAAAACAATGTTTCCCATGAGATAAGACATGCCTGAGTCCAGTTACCTGTATGTTGGGAATAGTTCCTTTGGAATGTTTGTCCTACACACCACACTCTACCATCGCAAAGATGGTCTGGATGTGTGTAGCGAAACAGAGCTAAAAAGTATCCCAAGGTAGGGCCCTGACCCAGGGTGCACTGAGATGGCAATTGAGACTGGATGTGGCGGCACGTGCCTGCAATCCCAGCTCTTGGGAGGCTGTAAACAGGTGGATCGCTATGAATCTGATCTAATAGTGAGACCCTGAACACCTTTAGATCTTTCCCTAAAATACAGGGGAAAAAATGGAAGAAGATCATTTCTAATACCAGAAATACCCAGCAACCCCTCCTTTGTAACATTTGTAACAAAAATTAACATGAATGGAGTTAACAGTTCTAATGGAGCGGTGGGCCCAATAGCCACATCAGTGCTAGCAAAATGGCAGAATTCATATAGCATCAAAGTTGTGCTGCAAGAGCTTCGGCACTTGATGTCTAAAGAAAATATGAAACTTTCTCAGCTGCCTGAAGGACAGTGCGACAGCAATTAATCAGAAACCCCACAGGCCCTCCCCGCCAGCCTGCACCCCAATTCGATTTAAACAGTCTTCATTTTCCACAGTGGTAAATTTTCTACTTATGTCTTGTAGACTTCAAAGTACTGAAAAGAAAGCTCCCATTCAAGGCAGTTCATTTTAAGATACTGTAAATGATACTAATTTTTTGTCCATTTGAATATATAAGTTGTGCTATAACAAATCATCCTGTCGGGTTCAACCACTGTCCACACAGTTGAACTTCTGGGATCAAGAAAGGATATTTAAATCCATCCCCATCTGGACCAATGGAGCACATCTAACTTGCCTGTGAAAAGGCACGTCACACAGTCACCTTGCTGTTGATTTCAGGGCCCAGGCACTGCCTGCCCACCCAACCCCCACCCCGCCTCTGCCATCTGGAGCCCTGGCCTGGGTGGCTGGTTGAGTCCATGTGAAGGCTTCAGGTTGCCGCCTGTGGGAGTGCTGTTGGGTGTGGGGGTGCTTTGCCTGTGTTCTGTCTTCTATTTTTTAAGTCTTAAGTGACACCCCATTCCAAGCCGTCGACCTGTCCCACTCTCCTCCACTCCCACCCTTGGCAGAAGCATAGATTATAACCCTCCGACCCCCACACTGAAATTGGCCTTTGGAGAGAAATTCAGGGCTTTCTCCATCTCTCCCCCACCTTGATCGAGGGGTGCTGCTTTTCCTCTTCCTCCTCCCCTTTGTCACACTCTCACCCCCAGCACTCTCCATGCCCCCTCCTTCCTCTGGCCAGAAGCTATCAGGTAAGGCTGGGAAGAGTCTCTGATCTCCCTCCTCTGGCTTTGGAACCACAGTCGTTCCCTCTCCACCAGCCTGGGAAATGAGTACCGGGCCCTGGGCTGCCGCCTGTTGCCACCATCAGCCGATATCTCATCTTGGGTGTGATGAGGTGAACAGAGCAGCCGCTAGGGTCAGGCAGACCTGCCGGTGCCCCGGGTCCCTGGTGGGCAGTCACCCGAGGCCATGTGAAGACACTCATAAGCACTTGCAGATCGTCTGGATTGTTCCCGCTTTCCCACCCACCTCGTTTTGTTTTTGTTTTTGTTTTATTGAGAAACAAATATCAGTGAGACACTTTCCAAGCTGATTAATAGGACATTTTCAATAATTAATACATTGCACATTTTTATCTTCTCAGCGGTCATCCACAGCACAAGAAGCAGCCAGGACATCCCATCCAAACACTACTACTACAAATCCTTCCTCTCACTGAACCAAGCGAACGCAGCTGTACATCTATCCTAATTATTCTGAATATACAAATACAAAATGGTCCTTCCTCTGTATCCCCCTTCTCCAGGTCAGTCCTGTTGGGTATTCTATTGGCTTCTAAATATTATAGGTGCTTGGATTCAGCAAAACAATCCAACACAGTCCAGCAGTCCACCATAGTAGTAGGTTATTCACAAAAGCTGTTGACTAGAGCCTTTTACAGCCCACCTCACTTTGGAGCTGAAGAAAGTTTCCACAGGCTTTTGGGCCCTCCTCCAGGTGCCCTTGCCTCCATTTGGGTCCAGTGCACAGTCTGAGAACTGGAACAGAAGAACTCAGCAAGTGCACTTTGGCTTTGGTGCTTTTGCTTCTCGTGCTCAGTGGGGACAAAGGAGCTGCTCGATGTTCAGGGGATCCCAGGGCTGGTGGTCTGGCCTCTTGGCTCCTGCTGCATCTTCCCACTGTCTGTTCAGAACCAGTAAATGCTGAAATGTGAATGCATGCGAAATAAAGGCAATTCATGGTGTTCTGAAAGAAGAAGAAGAAGAAGAAGAAGAAGAAGAAGA